GCAATAACTGTTTACCAAACCAGGTGACCATTAACGTGGCTCTATTTGATTGAATTTTTCAAAACTTTTCCTTATGATTTGTGATGAAAGTGTCCTGAGCAAATTGCTTTTCCAAGTTCAACAACTCATTCACATTTCAGCTCCTGACATTGATTGCAGTTTCCACAATGTAACTACACACTTCTATTTCCATTTCTCATCATATTTAAACCATGCCCATTCATCCCTCCCGGGCTGCTTCCTGCCTTCTGAGCTTTATCTCCAGGCAAATGCTGCCGCCCTTTGATTTCACATGGTTGGGATGTTCTAGAAAGTGATATTATTATTCACCCCTCAAGCCAGCATGGCTTAAAGATCAACTGAATGCCATAATCCAGAGGCTCTTCCAGTCTCTTCCACCTTCTACCATTCTTTTGAATTTTGCTCCACACTTTTTTCCTGCTGTAACTCAGACCTACTGCAGTCCCTTTCAGAGCAGCTGATAGTGATAGCCAGTCACCAGGTTCTTCTGGTCTCTGGGTCACGGAGATTGGGATCCAACTCCTTTGGACTAATTCTTTCCATTCATCTTTTCCTTTTTTTCCATCTCTACTCTTTGTTTCAGCAGGAGTTAGACCAATAATTGTCTCTCACTGCTTTTTTAAATTTTTATTTCCTTTTCCCTTGTTGTTGTTATGTGCCATCGAGTCACTTGCGACTCATAGCGACCCTATGTACAACAGCCCTAAAAACTCTGCTCTGTCCTGTGCCAATTGCACTGCCTCTGAAACACCCATCCCGATTATCCCAGTCACTGAATCAATCCACCTCATAGAGGGCCTTCCCCTCCTGTGCCGTCCCTCCACCCTCCCAAGCATGATGTCCCTCTCCAAGGACCGGTCTCTCCTCACAACATGTCCAAAGTATGTTAGACAGAGCCTCAGAATCCTTGCCTCCAAGGAGCCACCCGGTTTAACCCTTTCCAGGACAAATCTGTTTTCCTAGCAGTCCATGGTATTCTCAATACTCTTCTCCAGCACCACAGCTCAAAGGCATCAATTCTCCTTCTATCCTCTTTGGTCATGGTCCAACTCTCTGAAGCATAACAAGTGATTGCAAAGCCCATTCCCTTGTTACCTATGTTGAATCAGGTCCAACTGGCACAGGAGATTTCACCTTCAGAGGAGCATCTGGTGGATTCGAAAGGTGCACCTTCGGGACTGTAGTGCAGTTTCTTGCCACTAGGCCGCCAGAGCTCCCTTGTCTCACCGCTTTTATGACTACAGTCGCTAGTCACCAAAGTAGGTCACAGACCTTGTGGACTATGTTAAACCAATTACCCTTCATACCTCCCAAATTAGTTCCTGGCTCAATTTTTGCCAACCAAAAGAAAATAAATCATCTTTTTATTCTAAAATTTCTTCTTTTTTTAATAATTTTTTTATACTGGTTTGTTGTTATGTGCCATCGAATTGCTTGTGACTCATAGCAACCCCATGTACAATAGCCCTAAACTCTGCTCTGTCCTGTGCCAATCACACTGTCTCCAATACACCCATCCCAATTACCCCCGTCACGGAATCAATCCACCTCAAAGAGGGCCTTCATCTCCTGTGCTGTCCCTCAACCGTACCAAGAAAGATGTCCCTCTCTAAGGGCCTGTCCCTCCTTACAACATGTCCAAAGTATGTTAGACGAAGCCTCAGAATCCTTGCCTCCAAGGAGGCGCACAGTTTAACCCACTCCAGGATGAATCGTTTGTTTTCCTAACAGTCCATGGTACCCTCAATACTCTTCTCAAGCACCACAGCTCAAAGGCATCAATTCTCCTTCTATCCTCCTTAGTCACTGTCCAACTCTCTGATGCATAACAAGTGATTGCGAAGACCATGGCCTGTATCAGACGCACCTTAGTCTCCAGAGACACACAGTTGCTCTCTTGAGTACTTTAGAGAGGTCCCTAACAGCAGACTTTTCCATTGCAATACGTCTTTTAATTTCCTGGCTGCTGGTGCCAAGAATGTTGACTGTGGAGCCAAGCAAACTAAAGCTGTGAACAATCTCTATCTCTTCACCATCCATCCTGATGCTGCCAATTGGCCCAGTGGTGAGAATCTTTGTCTTCTTGACATTGAGCCTCAATCCATATTGAAGGCTGCAGTTTTCGACCCTCTGCAGCAAGCACTTCAGTTCCTTCTCAGTTTCAGCAAGCAGGGTTGTGTCATCTGCATAACACAGATTGTTGATAGATCTTCCACCAATCCTGATGCCGCATTCCTCCTCATAGAGCCCAGACTCTTGGGTACTTGGTCCAAGTATAGGTTTCGCATTAGCACAATCAAGTGTTCTGGGATTCCCATTCTTCTCAGAGTCAGCCACAGTTTGTTATCCACACAGTCAAACACCTTTGCATAGTCAATGAAACACAGATAGACATTCCTCTGGTATTCCCTGCTTTCAGCTAAGATCCATCTAACATTAGCTACAATATCACTAGTACCACAACCCCTTCTAAACCCAGCTTGGACTTCTGGCAGTTCTTTGCTCATGTTCCAGTCGTTTTTGGAAACTCTTCAGTAGAATCTTGCTTGCATGTGAAATCAATGATATTGTTCTATAGCTTCCACACTCTGTTTACTGCTCTAAAATTTCCTAACAATTACAGGGCCAATGTTGAGCTGTTCAATGACATTTTAGCTCACTGGATAAAATGAGTGTGTCCAAGAAGAACAATTACACCAGATTTTGGATGTAATTTGAGAGCTTAGTGGTGAGAAGCTGTATTGCAATACCAAAAACACAGGGTTCGAATCCACCAGCTATTCTGTGGGCGGATGATGGACAATCTTCTTCCCTGTGATTTACCTGCTTAGAGAGTCGGTTATGGTTTGGTTCCGATTCGACATCACACAACAATCCTGTGAAGTCCATTAGCTCATAGTCTCACAGTACCAAACAAATACAAAACAAAACCCACTTAAACTCACCGCTCATGAGTCAAAGTCAACTCACAGCTGACCTTTCAGGGGGTCCTGATGCTATAAATTGCACAGGAGATTTGCCCACCTTTCTGTTTCCAAGCCTCTGGCAGATTCCAGCCACCAGAGGAACACAGGCCTTTATGTTAGCAATGCAGGTCCCTGTGGGTAGACCGCCAGAGCTCGCTGACAGTACCAATGTTACACATTGAGTCAGAACCACTGACAGCTGATCCACTAGTGGGTTTTCAGAGACCATAATAGGTATGGGAGGAGACTAGCCATCTTTCCTTCTGGGAACAGCAATACTTTCCAGAATTGCTGGGATACCTTTAAAGCAGGATTTCTCGAGTAAGATCCTGTTGACATTCTGGACCGGATAATTCTGTTACGGGGAGCCCTGGCTGTCTATTGAGTATAGAGTGATGCTGCCAACCCAAAGGCAGATGGTTCAAAGTTACCAGCTGCTCCATGGGGAAAGATGAATAAGCCCCTCCTGTGTGGCTCACAGACTCTGAAAACCGGCTGGAAGGATGGAGGGTCAGCGATGAGTTGATTCCAACTCAGCAATGAGGGAAAAGGAATATGGGGGCGGTCAGCATGGCAAATGTTTGGTAGCATCCCACCTCCCCAATCCTAAAAACAATGTCTCCAGATAGCCCCAAATGCTGGGGGTGGGGAGATATCGGGGAGAGGATTCACATTTCCTCCAGGTGAGAACTATTGAGAAGAGATGGGATTTTTTTTTTTTTAAAGGTGAAGGATGGCAAGGAAAGTGAACAAGGAAGCCCCTGCCCCTCCCAAAACTGAAACCAAAGCAAAGGCATTAAAGGTCAAGAAGGCAGTCCTGTGGGCATCTATAGCCAGAAAAAAAAAGAAGATCCTCACTTTACCCACTTTCCAGCGGCCTAAGACTCTGAGACTCCGAAGGCGGCCCAAATACCCTGGAAGAGCACCCCCAGGAGAAACAAGCTTAACCCATATGCCATCATCAAGTTTCCCCTGACCATTGAGTCAGCCATGAAGAAGATAGAAGATAACACACTTGTGTTCATTGTGGATGTCAACAAGCACCAAATCAAACCAGCTGTAAAGAAGTTCTATGACACTAATGTGGCTAAGGACAACACTTTGATTGGCCTGATGAAGAAATGAAGGCCTATGTTTGACTTGCTCCTGACTATAATGCTTTGGATGTTGCCAACAAAATTGGGATCATTTAAACTGAGTTCTGCTGGCTAATTCTAAATACAGGTTTTTCTCACCAATAAATAAATAAATAAATAAATAAATAAATAAATAAAATAAAGGATTGAAGTACTTCACAGCAACGAAGGACAACATCAAAGCTCCTATGAAGCAGAGACTATCAAACTCTGGCTGCATCAGTGCCCTCAGGGCACTTAAAATGCTGGTTTCTAGACTTCAGCCCAAACCTATCAATGTAGCTAAGTACTGGACTGGGTTTACCTGCGCCAGCATCAGCACCCGCATTCTGCAGATACACTGAAATGTGCCAGACATGGCAAATGCTCAAGGTCATACACAGAGCCAATGGGAAGTTGGCCTACAAACCCTTCCACACAACAGAGATGGATGAAGTGAAGTGAGGTGAGATGTGTGTGTGTGTGAGTGCGCTGTGCTGTTTCTTCCACTGAGGTCTCTAGAATCTAATGTGAAAGTTAGAAACAGTCCCCCTGAGTGAAAATCGTAACTTGGCAAATTTATTAGCTGGACAAACTTCACTAGGCCCAGAACCTCTGGGGACCTCAGCATCTTCACTGTCAAATGGAATAATAACCTGGATCACCTAGGGCTGGAGGAAAGGTTAGGAGAGGATGAATACCAAGCCTGCAGCACAGCATCTGGCACACAGAAGTACTGAACACTCCTTCTGTCGGTATTATTAACTATTAATTATTATTGCTGCCCCAGTGCTACAGCATTGAAGGGGTCCGAGGGCCCCCAAGGACAGGTGCTTGGAAACGGGCTCCGAGTCCTCCCTAACGAAGAGGAGGGATCAGACCCCGCCCCGCCCCTCACCTGGTCCTGCAGCGCCTTGTCCAGCTGCCGGTAGTCGTTGTTCCAAACCAGGAGATGGAGGGGGTAGTGGCCGCTGGCATCGCGGCCCGAGGACATGGTGAGAAGGCCGCAGTCGGGTCCTCGCCGCCTCTGCTCACCAGAACCCTCAGTCCCGGGAAGGGTGTTTGGAGCACGCCTGCCGACCGGCAATGGGGGGGTGGAGGGAAGGCACGCAAGCAGGAGAGGAGGTGCGCGTCGAGTAGCCCAGTGGGCTGAGTAAGGGTGTGCGAGGGTCAAGGGTCACGGGCTGGGTGGGGAACCAGGTCGGCCGCGCCCACCCCGCGCCCCGCCGAGCTCCTCGCCCCAAGCTGACAGCTCCGGAACCGACTTCTGCGGGCCGAAATGTCCCAAACAAGGAAGTGCGGAGAGCGAACCACCGCCCTCGGCGGCGGAGGGGAGGGACCGAGGCCCGATGGCCCGGACGGGGTTCTTCCGACCGCACCCACCTCCAACTTTACATCAGCAGCACTATTATCACACTACAACTAAGTTGCAGTTCTCTCCGCTTTCCTACGGTTGTTTGAATACGGAAAACCTGGCAAAGCCTCCAGCGGCCTCTTTTTCTCACCCCCCGATTCCTTGATGCCAAATGGTTCAGTCCAAAACTGGGCCTCTCCCATTGGCTATGCCGTCGCCGAAGGTGTGGATTCTGGGATAAACCATTGGAGCTACTGACTTCTTGGCAGCCTTTTTGCACCCGGGCAGACACTTCCGTGATTGGTCCTAAGCCATTTTGGAAGTGGGCAACCCCGATTTTAAAAGAGGAAGTAGAAACCTTGGCACAACGGTTAAAACTCTACTAAAAGTCGGACTGGGTGGAACTCAGGAGGCACACTGCCGGGGGAAAAAATGCCACAGTCGGCATTTTATAGCCTTGGAAGGCCTAAGAGGCATATCTGCTCTGCCCCTTAAATATGTGCTTAATAAGGAGATATTTTTTTTTTTTTACTTTATTACGCCACAAGTTGATCTGCACATTGTTGTTGTCGTTGTTGAGGGCTGTCCTGTGCTTCGTAGGATGTTATCCTCCCCCTCCACATTCTATGTCAGTAGCACCCTCCCAAAATGTCTTAAGATACTGTCAAATGTTCCAGGGGGAGAAAACGAAATCCTAGCTGCGAACTACTGAATTGTCTAAGATATGATTCAAAGCTGCCTATAATTATTTATCCACATATATAAATATAATTTGTTTTTTAAATAAGTTTTTGGATTTTGGATTATGCCTCAAAGAACTGATCACATATAATATCCAGGTGTGGTCACCATGTGGAACCGGATCCCCTCGCTTACTACTGCTTTTGCTCAGCTGTCTCCCACTTGACTACAGAGCTGGGCAAAGTTATTTAATGCCTCCTGACAGTATCCACTCAGCCATCTCTGTCTGTACCTAGCCAGCCTGCAGCAACAGCTGTTAAAGAATCCTAGCCTAATCCATTTGCCACACATGTGGAGTAGAGATTTGCAGCGGTCTTAGAGGTCTCTTCAAGGACCTCTGGTTCTTTTATAAACCTGTGTAACTTAATCACTGCCCCATGGTTCTTGAACATCTCTCCTACCTCATCAATCCGTAAGCATCACATCTATTTTGTCAACTGGAGCACCTACAGCCAAAACAGTTCGCAGCATGTAATACCACCATTGCCATCAAGCTGACTCATAATGACCCTATAGTATAGAGTAGAACTGCCCCATAGGGTTTCCAGGGCTGTGGAGCCTAAAGGAAGCAGATTGTCACATCTTCCTATTGTTGTTCTTATGTGCCATCAAGTTGCCTGTGACTCATAGTGACCCTATGTACAACAGCTAGGAAGCCTGCCCTGTCCTGAGGCAGTCTCACTGACTCTGACACACCTACTCCCATTACCCCAGTTACTGTATCAATCCATCTCATGGGGGGGGGGGCTTCCTCTCCTGCTTTATCCTTCCACCTTTCTGAACATGAAGTCTTTCTTTCTCCTGGCTCAGTGCCTTCTGGCCACATTCACAAAGTATGTAAGACAGAACTTCAAAATCCCAGCCTCCAAGAAGAAACTTGGTTTCACCCTCTCCAAGACAGACCCTGTTTGTTTTCTTGGCGGTCCATGGTATGTTCAAGACTCTTCTCCAGCACCACAACTCAAAAGCATAAATTCTTCTGTCATCCTTAGTCATTATCCAGTTCTCTGATGCAGAATAAGTAATTGCAAAGACCACATACTGGATCAGGAACACCTAAGTCTCTAGACTGACATCATTATATTTCAGTAGTATGTCGAGGTCCCTGATAATAGATTTTCCTAGTGCAATCTGTGTTCTGATTTCCTGACTGCTATTTCCAAGAGTGTTGATTGTGGAGCCAAGCAAGCTGTAATTATTAACAACCTAAATCTCTTTTCCGTCTATCATGGTGCTGCCAATTGACCCTGTCTTCTTGATGTTGAGCTTCATTCCGTATTTAAGGCTACAGTCAAGCATCAAGCACTTTCGGTCCTCCTCACTCTCAGCCAGCAAGGTTGTGTCATCTGCATAAAGTATGTTATTGTTGTTGTTGTTGTTATGTGCCATCGAGTCGCTTGCAACTCATAGTGACCCTATGTACAAGTGCTCTAAATGCCATTCTATCCTGTGCCAACCTAGCCATCTCAAATACATATAACATATGTATATCATATATGATATTATCATAAAGTTAAGAGATGTCAGATATTTAAACAAGGGCCCCAGGCCAGTGCTTGTGTTCTCAAAATCTCCTTCATTGCCGTGGGAATGAGAACCAAATCAGAGCAGACCTTCTGTAGGGTTTCTGTGGCTCCCCATCACACGGGAGTTTGCCCATCTATCTCCCCAGAGATGCAGGTAGACTTGAACTTCCAGAAAAGCATGGCTGCTTGGGTTAGCAGTGCAGCTCCCCATGGACTACGCTAACAGAGCGCCCTACCAATGTCTGCAATAGGCATTGAGATTCATCTCTGGATGTTCCTCAGTCCCTGGAGGGAGATTCCAATGCTCGGGAGAAGATAGAGTGGGGGGGAAGGAAGCTGTTTAATGAGACGAGCTCAAACATTGCAATGATTGTGAGAATGTGCAGCATTTCCTTCTGTGTGTGTTGTTGTAGTGAAACTTTGAGTTGAACCAACTCATAGCTGACTCTCCAGGTTTTCAGAGGCAATAAATAGCAAAGGTGGAGATTGCCCATCTTTCTCCTACGGAGTAGCAAGTGGATTCAAACCACGTACCTTTGCATTGGTAGTGCAGTTCCTTACCACTAAGCCACCAGAGCCCCCTTCTGTTGTGAATAATGTCACTGTTAGTCAAAACTGAGATGGTATCTAATAATAACCTCAATGGAATGTTTTTCATATGATAGGTTATTTTGTCTGCTTACCTCAATGCTATTTCTCCAGTTCTAGAACAGACACATGCTGTTGTTAGTTGCCATTAAGTCAAGTATGACTCATAGCTATAGTCTACAGATTTGACCCCTTTCTTATTCTGTGCCATCCTCAACAACTCCAACATACTTGAGCCCACAGCCACAGCCACTATTCAATCCTTCTTGTTATATTTGCTGAATTACTAAAGTGGCCAAAGTTAGACTAAGTGACTTGGCCTTGACTGCCTGAGGAAAGTCTTCGTTGCAGCGGTCTCACTGGTCTCTAGATTTTGCAGTTCTCCTGGAATTAACTGGTATTGCTATCAAAGATCTCTTCTAGAGAAAAAAACTTCACCCACAGCCATTCACTTGATGTACCCTTACACCAACCCAGAGGGTCAAGCTAAGCATATGAAACCAATTCCCACTTATACAAGTTTTATCAAGTTCAGTGTCATTTACTTCGAGAATTAACTGTTGTACACTGAAGTTTATAGAAGCATTATTCACAAGAGCGAGAACATGGGAATAGCCCAAATATCCATAAAAAACGACTGGATTGAGAAACTGTAGTACAGTCACACGATGGAATACTGTGCAGTATTCAGGAGTAACAATTTTTAAAAAGATTATATAACATGGGAGAGGCTAGAGAACATTCATTACGCTAGGTCAACTAACTCAAGCATATACGAATAAACACTGTGTAAGACCATGACTGTAAAAACAGAAAAATAACCAGTAATACGTGTATGGATAGCCAAAGATGGAAGGGGTGGGAGCAAGTGAGGATCTGAGGGGGAAATCACGGGATCTCAGAGTCCGGTGGGTGAAGGGAAAGGGTGGGGAGCGGTGGGGGGGGAGGACCCAAACCCAAAACAATGTACATGAGTGGAAACACAAATTATTGTATGCAAACCAATACAATATATTAAAAAAAAATTAACTGATCTTTCTGGGCTTGGGATACTGATCAAAATCCTCCCAATTTCAACAAAAGATCCAGCCTTACTGAGTAATGACATTGATAGGAAAATGAACACACAGAAATTTCATCTTGTAATGGAAGCCCAGGGTAACACCTTTGTTCATGTTCTGTACATGCCTACAGATAGTGCAAACTGTAGCTAGACCTATTTCCCCATCATTTGCTAAAGTGAACCCTCTTTTTTTTTTTTCTTTCCAAGGAGTATGACTTCTACATTGATGTGATTGAAATCCCTCTGCAAGGTTCCTCTCAGACTTTTCATAATAACTATTCCCTCAAAATGATGCCGACATTTTCTGGAATGTCGGCAACTTAGTTAAGAAAGGCCTTCATTCTTACAGTAGATATGTAAGTTGAGGGATGGAGGTGGAAGAGTTAACTACAGGACAACCCAAAGACAAGAGTTTCTAATCTACCAGCTGCTCTGCAGAAGAAAGATGGACAACCCCCCCTACTCCTCGAAAAACCTGCTGGAGAGTCATGGCGATCAAGTGACTAATTGATAGGCTGTAATGTTAATTGCGACTCGACGGCACATAATAACATAAGAACAATGTTTACTGGAAGATTTTTTTTTTCTCCCAGTGGGTTCAAATCTCTGAACTTTCTGTTAAAAGCTGCAAGCCCATGCTTAACCACTATGGTATCAAATTTCCCACTTAATCAAAGTCAAACCCACCACCTCCAAGTCGATACTGACTCATGGTACCCCCTCCAGCAGGTTTCTAAGGCTGCAAACCTTTATGTGAGGAGACTGCCTAAACCTT